TCACAGATCTCAATATTAAACGAGAAACACTAAATCTATTGGAAGAGAAAGTAGGTCAAAACCTTGAAGACATAGGGGTAGGTAGAGAGTTCATGAACAAAAACCAAACTGCAGGTGAAACACTTGAAAGAATCAACAATTGGGATCTCATCCTACTGAAAAGTTTCTGCACATCTAAGGAAATCATCATCAGAGTAAAAAGAAAATCCACAAACTTGGAAAAAATTCTAGCTGACTGTCGCTCGGACTAAGGACTTCTATCTAGAACACGTAAAGAATTTAAAAAATATCAGCTCCCCCCAAATTCAAAGACCCAATCCAAAAATGGGCAACTGAGATGAATACACACTTCTCTGATAAGCAAATACAAATGGTAGATAAATACATGAGAAAATGTTCAACATCATGAGTCATTCAAGAAATGCAAATTAAAACAACTGAGATTCCACCTTACCCCAGTAAGAATGGCTAGCATTAAAAAATCAACCAATAACAAATGCTGGCGTGGCTGTGGAGAAGTAGGAACCCTTCTCCAATGCTGGTGGGAAGGCAGACTGGTGAAACCACTATGGAAATCACTTTGGAGATCCCTCAGAAAAGTAGGTCTAGAGGTCCCATTCAACCCAGCTATTCCCCTTCTGGGTATTTTCCCAGAAGGTCTAAAAACATCATATAAGAGTGATATATGTGCACCTGTGTTCACAGCAGCACAATTTGTAATTGCTAAATTGTGGAAGCAACCCAAATGTCCATCCACCAAGGATTGGATAAGAAAATTGTGGTACTTTTATATAATGGAATATTACTCAGCTATAAAGAAAGATAAAATGAAGGCTTTTATAGGTAAATGGTACTTTTATAGGTATAGGTAAAAGGCTTTTATAGGTAAACAACTAGAGACCATACTCATAAGTGAAATAAATCAGACCTGCATGTGCAAGCACCGCATTGTCTCACTATTGTAAAACCTGAAAGAGTTAATACTAACTTGGAGGTATGATAGACATTGTGAAATGAAAGGAAAACAGTCAAGAGTAAAGGGCAACTGGGATGTGGGGAAAGAGAAGGAGAAATTTTGTGTGTATGTATATGCGGAATAGTTAACATAGCTGATCTTCTGTCTTCTGTTTCTTTAATGAAAGAAACTTGTTAATGAGTCCTTGATTGATCAGTAATGCATGTCTCTATTTCTTTTCCTGAGAAACCACTTTGAAAATATCAATATGTAATACAACAGGCATTGTTAATTTCTTACCACTTTGTTTGTAACTCTGTATTGTTTGTACTGTTCTTTTGCTCTTTTGTAAAAGGTTGTCTGTCAAAAATAAAAATAAAAATAAAAAAATTTTTAAAAATGCAGAGTAAGATGCTGGTCTGCCCCAAATAATCAAAGATTTTTAAAGCTGATGAAAACTAAATGTAATCAAGGATGCTAGGAAATTAGCCATTTGCATAGGATCCTCATGGGAAGAAATTTGTACAGAATGTCAAAAGCTATAAGAGAGTTCATATTCTTTTGGCCAAGATTATTTCACTTTCTTAATCAATCCCAAATACATATCCAGCATGTGCCACAAAGATACATATAGGGATGTTCATTGCTTCATTTAAAACAACCAAAATGGCTATGAATATTGACAAATTATTATAGAACTTTATAGTGGGATAGAAATCATTATAAAATAATATAAAATGTCTTCAAAGTATTCAAAGTAGATCAAGAGAAAAATACTAGGTTTAAAAAATCAATATGAAGGGAAAGAAGGGGAAATTATGTTAAGTATGTATGTACAGATAGCTAACATAGTTGTACTACTGTCTCCTATTGCTCTACAGAAAGGAGCAGTTAATGATTACTTGTTTGATCAATCTTGTATGTCTCTTTTCTTGAGAAACCACTTTGAAGATATCAATAAGTAATACAACCATTGTTAATTTCCTACAGCTTTGTCTGTAACTCTGTTTTGTTTGTATTGTTCTTATGCTATTTTGTAAATGGAGATCTGTTAATATGTTTTCCTTTTATTTCTTAAAATAAGAAAAATTACACTTTAGGTCATATCATCTTTATATACAAGTATCTATATATGTGTATGTGGTTTGTGCTCATATCTTTAATACTTTGCAAATTTCTACAGTAAATTTCAGAATAGAAAGACATTAATTTTTCTGGCACATATATACATGTCCAAAATGAGTAACCGCAAACATACCACAAAGAAAAAAGTTCTCAAGAATCAAAAATGAATGGAGCATAGTGGCGCATACCTATAATCCCAGCTTTGGGAATGCTGATGCAGGAGGATTGCTGCAAGTTCAAGGCCAGCCTGGGCTACATAGTGAGACCTTGTCTTTCGAAAAATAAAACAAACTCAAAAATGAAAAATATTCTGAGACACTTAAGACATTTCCTAATGCATTTTCTTGTTGTCTGCTAGAGAAAGGATGGTAATTATGTAAATAAATGGCAGTGAAAGAGTTTTGTTTTTGATACTCATTTCAATCCATGAGACACTATTTTAGCAGAAATTGCTACTCTTGAGATGTGCTGCATTTCTTTTCCTGAAATTTATTCTGAATCTCTTAGGTACATGATTTACAATTTAAAGAATGGGGAGTACCTCTGTGCTCCCTGGGTCTCTTACTTAAAACACTAGCATGTGGGGTGGAATTTTACCTTTTATTCACAGTGCCCATCTCACCATCTTTCCCTAGCAAGAGGACCAAGTAACAGTAAATCTTACCTATCAGACCACACTTGCTTATTGTATGATGGCAAAATTAAATGTGAATAAATAGCTAGAGCATTAAGGTATTCTTGGAAGAACAAACACAAGCAGGAAATACTATGTGAATAGTGCAAAGTCCAGGAGGGAATCAATCATGTGAACATGAGGTGAAAGGCTAGTGGGGAAGCCATTGGAGTCAGTCAGGCATTCCCTGCAGTAAATGGCTTATTCCACTTCTTTTCCCTTCCACCCAGTTTGGGAAAGAGAGTTCTATGAAATCTCTAACAGATTCCAAAAGATTTTAAAAGTTCATATCCTGTTTGCATACCTCTCTTGTCTTCCTCTTCTCACCAACAGGAAACTGTTAAGGCAGCGATAGTAGAAGAGCAGAGGCGAAGTGCAAAGGCTGTGGAGGAGGCAGTGAGAAGAACGCGAGATGAGCTGATCGAGTATGTAAAAGAACAGAGAAGGGTAAGTGTCTTCTGAAGTTTTAATTTCTGCTTCCATGAACACAAGCAGTGCCTTCCATACAATAATGTGAACTTTAACAGTGTTTAAAATGCCCTTTATCGTGTAAGAATCATCTAAGATTATTTCCCTGAAGTAGTCATATATTTTCTAATTTTTACATTAATTAATGTAAATTCCATCTGTCCCTAGAAAAGCAACAGTGAATAATTTCTTAGTATACTCAGAAGTTTCCAATTTAATATTGCATTCATGAAAATACTAGACAATTCTAGATTTTCAGAGGATTTTCAGAGGATTTTGCTATGTGTTAATTCCTTGTAAGTGTTCTGTGTAAACCCCACTCTGGTTCTAATAGATTTCATTATAGTTAGCAAATTAAGGCTCTTACCTAATTCCATTTCAAAAACATAACTCATATATATGCATAACAAAATTTAGGATGTATTGAAACTTTATAATATAAATATTAATAAGTGAGCCTGAGCAATAGCTGAAAATAACACATTAAACTTCACTTGTCATTTTATAGACACGTCTTTAGTCTTCTTAAATAGTATGCAAGAGTACAACTTGCAAGAGTTCTACACCATTATATATTGTATAATAAAATATGTAATAATACTTTTCACACACTTTAGTATGTTTTATTTATATGCTTAGCATATACTATATTTTATGAACCTTATTATATATGTGTAAATATATAAACCTGTGTCATGTGTTACATAATATAACAAACATAAAACATAGTATATAGGAAGAAATTTGATGAGTACCATGTAAACTTAGTGACAGAGAGTAGAAGCTACAACATGAGATCTACTCTCAAAATTTTATCTGTAACACGTTATTGTTGACTATAGGTGTTTTGCTGTAGAACCAATCTTGAGAGCTTATTTACCTTGCTTTGAAGATGAAACTTGGTGCTTTGGATCACTAATTGCCTGTTTCCCCTTCCTCTGGCTCCTGGTAGCCATCATTTCTCTCTGTGTGGGTTTGACAGTCTTAGTTCTCTCATGTGAGTGGAATTGTGTGGTACACTTCATTCTGTGACTGGCTTATCTCCTTTAGCATAATGCCCTGAAGGGTCATCCATATTGTCACATATGTATAATTTATCCTTTTTCACCCTGAATGGTATTTTATTGTATGTGTATACTTTATTCTTTATCCATTCACCTGCTGATGGACATTAAGATTGTTTGTACATATTTAATAACTTTTAACAGTATACAGCTAGTCCTTATTTAAGTTCTAAATCTGGACAGGAGAAATTATGTAATATAGCAAAATCATTCATAAGATTATTTTTGGCTAATATTTCTTTGATCAACATGAATAAATTTTTAAAATATTCTCTATCAAAGGGCATTATGTCATAAGAAATACTTCATATAAGAGTAAGAAATGGTTTTTTGTTATCTAATCTTCTGTGATGTAAATTAACTGTTGAATTAACAGTGAACTCTGCCATTTAATTTGAGTGTTCTTGTAAATCATATTAAAGGAGTAATATTCATTTGTATCAGTCATATAATCATATTAAAGGAGTATTCATTTGCATCAGTTATCACCTGTAAAGATCTTCATTAAGTAACAGCAATTACAACAAAATCATAACAATATTAGGTTCCATTTGAGCCAAATTTTCACTTCTGGGTACTTGTTTTCTTATGTGTAAACAAAAATTAATACCAATCTTACAGTGTTAACATAAATAGAAGAGCTATAGTAAGGACTGTATGTCCTGTGTACTATATAAATATATTCTGTGATTATCATCTTCACCACATTGTTAAATAATACCTAGAACCACTCTTAGTATTCTTGCTGCTAATTAAAAATGTACTGTTTAATTAGTGTTTGGCAGCTGTGTCCTCTCAAGTTTACAGTATGAATTCTAAAATTTTATTCCACTCCTGTTATTAACTTACAGAAGATTGAAACTGATTTAATCAATATACTTGCAAAAAAGCTATTACTTCCATTTTGAGGATTATGGAGTTTTACTGATACTACATAATGTAGAACATTTTAATACTTGAATGTTTCTCTGTTCTCAAACAGGAAAGCAATTTTTGAAGAGTAAATAAAATATCAAAATGAAAGCACCAGTTACTGAAATCTTTTTATATAACTTTTAAAAATTAAGTTTCTCTATACCCTTCTTTTTTCCAAAAATTTATTTCGGTGCTTCCAGTTAATTTTTATGAAAATCTTGAGACCAGGATAATTTTCACAAAGAAAAGTGCGTCTCAGACCTTATAAAATAATACTTAAAAGAAAGAAATTATTTTAGCAAATTCACATTCTTCTTGTCTGTTTCCAAAAAAACTAAATCAAGACAACTCATCTCTACTTCTTCTGGAAGATGGATTTCTGTTTGCATCAGAGAACACATTTCCAGGACAAAAATTTTCCTGTCCTGTTTCCAACTTTTTTAAAAAAACTAGAGTCAACTTAATATTTTCAACATTAGACACCTCAAAAGCCCTATATTCCTTGGTTCCAGCTGGACCTAACTTCCAGTTTATTCTCCTGGTGAAAATTTCAAATATCTTTGAAGGAAGAAGTTGAATGTTGAGTTAGGTCTTGTCCGTGAATATCTTTTATCTTAAAAAGTCTTTCCTTTGATATCATTATGCCCAAATTCACTGAAAGTTTGAAATGAAAACTTTTTTTCCTCCATCTTTTCCTTTTCAGTTCATTGAACTAAAGTTAAGACTACATTAAAATTATACTGAGAAAACAGTTTTAATTTTAAAGTACATCTCCTAATTTTTATGTGTCAAAACAATAGAGATGTCAGTAAACTTATGTAGCCTTATCCATCTGGTCTGAACATTTTAGAAAAGGCAAAGCGTTACTTTTAAGTAACTAATTGAGTGAATCATAATTTGTACTCAAATTGCATCTGAATTACAATGTTACATAATACTTGTACTGTTAACCCAAGTTATAATCATAACTTAAGATTAATATGTAATAAACATATCCAAATAAGGAGAACATTTTAAACTATCAACCAAAATAGTTATTCAAATTAATGGGTCAATTCCAGTGGTATCGATGGTTATAAGAATTCAACTTGATTTTTTTTTTTTAAACTCTCCAATAAAATCTATGTAAAGACAAGAAAAACCATTGGAAATTTAGTAGGAATTGAAAACCTAATGTTTTTCAGCTTAGCACTTAAAATTTTCCATAGAATTTGGTAGAAACTTTCTATTTCTAATGGATTTAGTCATCTTTATTATATTTATATAATACAAACGGAAAAACAAACAGGAAAACCTTGAAGTATTAAAACACAAATATGTCTAAAAATCAGCTATGTTCCTACAAGGACAGTGATTTGCCATGGGACATGCTGTATGTTACTAAAATTTAAATTTTGGTTTCAAACTCTCTTAACATCACTAGAAATTTTAGATCAAAGAATACAAAGGATAGCTCGTTGGCCAAATCCAGCCTATTGCCTATGTGTATAAAAAAGTTGTATTGGAACACTCAGCCTTTTCTATTCATTCTGGTATTGTCCTCTGGCTCATTTCTTGATCCAATAGCAGTTTAGTAGCTGGGAGAGACCATTTAGCCATATAACTAAGAAAGATTATCAACCCCTATTTTTGATCATTGAAATAGTCTTGGAAAAATTTCTTGCTCTTGGCCATTTTTTGTTTTTTTGGTTTTTTTTTTTTTTTTGAGACACAGTCTCACTATGTAGTTCAGGCTGACCTTGAAGTCAGCAATCCTCCTGCCTCAGCTTCCTGAGTGCTGGGATTACAAGTAAATGCCACCACATCCAGCAAAAATTTTAAATTTTTTGAAATGTTTTATTAAGAGTCAGTGAAACTAGGCAATTCGAATGCTTTATGTTCTCTCTTTTCATATAAATTGTCAGTTGGAAAATTGTATCAAATATGTTATTAATGCCATGCACTTTATTTTGTATGGAGATTGCAGAAAAACAAGATGGGAAGGAATATATCCATGACAGTTCCTTAAGGAGGAAGAATTTGTTGTCTATGTAGACCTATTGCCCTTGCATTAGAACAAAGAGTCCCAGGCCATCTGTTTTAGTACTTTTCTCTCACTGAGACAGAATGCCCTGACATTCCACCCATGGCCCCCCAAGCACTCATGCACATCCCCTTATCCAAAAGGCATTTAGTCCATCTCCAGGAGTTGGCTGTAGGGGTCAAGTGCCTGGATTGAGGAGTACTCTGAATCCAATTCTGAGGAACAAATTCTCTAGACTGCCACCATTCTGAAACATGGTGCTCTAGGGCTTTCTTTTCAAAGCAAAGTCTTTCACTTTTGCAATTTTAAGGCTGCAAAGGGTAGAGTCCTGCTGCTTCTGATGATGCCCTCAGGCCATCTTTCTAGTTTCCTGTTCCTTCTTAGCAATTAGGATCTTCTCTCTTCTATCTTTGCAGTCCACAGCTTTTCCTGGAGCTTCCTTTCTGGACAAACTCAAAATGTTTTAAATCATTCTGCTGGTTTCTTTGCTCATGATTCTCAAAATAGATCTGTCTAAAAAGTGCCCAACTGTAGCCATGCCATTGCTTCAACGGTCGACTGCCTTGAAAATTTTTTTGCCAGATTAATTAGTCCACCACCCTTAATCTCAGTCTCAGGCAAAATCTCAGGACCGGAGCAAAATGTAGGCAGACTTTCTGCAAAGCCATAACACACATCATCTGGAGTCCAACAGCCAATGTAGTCCTTCCCAGCAGAAATCTCCCAAGCGTGGTCTTTATTACCGGGATTTCTATCAGCCTTCTGGTCCTCTGAACTCTGACCAGAATCTCCCATACAGAACACCCTAAGGCATTCCAGCTCTCCTTTTTCAGCCAGTGTCTCCAAGTCATTCCAAACTCTTGCAACAAGCCAGTCCCAAAGGCTCCTGAACACATGGTCAGGTGTAGTCACAGGAACAACCCACTTCTGTCCTACCAAATGTCTTAGTTACTTTTCTCTCCTTGCTGAAACAAAAT